CTAATTCTAAACCCAGTTCTCTCTCCACTGTGCCACCTAGCGACCTTATCACCAAATAGCACCGCAAGAAAATAACGTGGAATATATTTTAAGACAGGAGCCTATGATTACTGCTGGGAAAATCATTTAGCTATCCAGATATAGATAAAGTAAAAATGAATACCAAATCACAAGAAAGATCACAAAGGAGAAGAAACTTGTCATTAAATTTAAGCAGTTCCAATACCACCCGTTTTATAAGATTTTTTTAAATCCATCTTTTTATTAATGATTAGGCTTATATTTGAAGGATAGGTTATTGAGAGGTACAAAATGAACTCCATTGTTTTTTGAAATAATATATTCCATTCCTTTCTTTGATGTCTTGTAATTGAAGAATAATCCTTTTACTCAAATCGCTATTCCTTTATATTTCAAGGTCTTTCTCCTGGCTACTTGTAAAAATGGTTGGTTTTCACTGAAATTATTGAATGTAGCCACTTTATAGCTTGAAGTTTGAAGGACAAGTTGTTAGTTTTTTTCCTGCCAGTTATCTGTGGGTTCTCTCAATCAATGATTTTTCTGTCTATATTCAGAAATTACAAACAATTTTCTTGTTCTATTTCCTGCAAGTAATTAATTCAACTTGTCATGGTCTCTGAAATACATTTAAAGATGAAACTACATGAGAATGACAGATGAAAATGGAAAAGATCTGTCAACATTTCTATAACAAACTTTTTTCTCCATCAATGACAGTGGAGGCACCACACTTAGACTCTAAAATTATAGTCCTTGTTGTGTTTCGTGGTGGAATAGAAATAGCATTGAAGAAAATGAAGATGGTAACAGGAATCAGACTAGATCACAGAGAGGTTACCACTGTGGAAGTGACATGAATTTAAGGGTATATCTGAGAGGAGACTATCAAATACTTGGGGGAAGGGGAACAACCTTGTTTCGCTAGGCTAGCTCCTTGCTGGGATGGGTCAAGCACACCATTTCTTTGAGCTGTTGTCTTTCTGTCTCCTCACTAGACTCAGCTACTGCTGCTCCAATTGTTAGTGGGAGCTCAGCTGGCTTTAGAGGATCTCCTACTCTCACCAATCTAGGGGCACCCCTAGATAGATCGAGCTCTCATTCTCACCAAACACCTAAGTGCACTCCAGTCTCAAGATAGCCATTACAATCAGCAAAGAAGACACATACCAGGAAGAGAGTTTTTATAGGGAAGAAGAAAAGAAAGAAGGAAGGAAGGAAGGAAGGAAGGAAGGAAGGAAGGAAGGAAGGAAGGAAGGAAGGAAGGAAGGAAGGAAGGAAGGAAGGAAGGAAGGAAGGAGGAATGGGAAGAAGAGAGGAAGGGAGGGAGAGAGGAATTAAAAAGGAAAAACACTCACTGAAAACTGAATTAGGGCCTTCTCATTGCACATGCCTAGAAGGATTACCAAGTCTCTATGTGGATTTGAAACCAGGAAGGGCATATTGCACATGCTCCAAGGACTGTATCTTTACTGGCCAATCTATGCATTACACATTAATCGAATTCATCAGACAAAATAGCCTACTTCTCCATTTTTCCCAATAAGAATAAAATATATATTATTTAGCTTTCATTACAAAGAGCAGAACTTCTTAACAATGTTGCTACATTTTCTTCCTGGTTCAAAGCATTAAAAATAACCTCTTGCTTTTATGATTTTTCCCCCAACAATCTCTATTCCATACTAAGCACTCTCTCTCATTTCTTTGCTTACATGTCACTTCTTAACTCCTCATGTTGCAGCAGACCTTCTTGGTTAAATGTTGTAGTAAATGCACTTTGAACTTTTATTTAACTAGTATGTTCTTCAATTGCCTGTGAAATGTTAAATGTGTCTTCAACGGGGGCTCACTCCTCCCACAGAGACGTTACCATGGATAATTGTTGGGATAGAAGCATCCCTCCCAATACACATACACACAATTTTGTTCAAGTAATACTTAAGTGAAAACCAAGGCCCTCTAACGGACTCACATGGATAACTTTTGAGTAAAATTGCAACCACTTCACATCAATGACCAGCACCATTCTAAAAAAGAGTCATTTTTAAACTTGCTAGTTTGGAAGTGGAGAAAAAGAGGCAGGAAAGTTTAATGAGTGATGGAAATGACCCAATATAAAATATTTCTTCCTGACTTCAGGCCTAGTGTTCTATCCACTGAGCCACCTAGCTGCCCAGAACATAGGCTTAGCTTAAAAGGAAGCCCAAGAGGCAGAATGGAGAAGGAAGTACATTCTAGGAATGGGGACAGACTATGAAAGGAGATGGCATAATGAGCAGCTATTAGGACAGATGTGTTGAACATAGTGTACATGAAAGGTAATAATCAATCAATTAATTAGCATTAATTGGTTCACTAATTCATTAATGACTGTTACCAAGTGCTGGAGGTATGAAAACAAAAATGAATGTCTGTGTCCTCAAGAAGCTTATAATCTATCAAGAGGTATAAAATGTACCTAGATAATTATAAAATTCTGGTCTCTCTGCTTCAAATTTCTCCCCTCCTCAATCCTGATTTTCCTCAAGTGTAGGTCTAACCATGTCGTTCCATACTCAGTCAACTCCAATGGTTCCCAATTGCCTCTAGGATCAAATAAAAACTGCTCTGTTTAGCTTTTTAAATCCCTTTACAACCTGCTCTCATCCTACCTCATTGCCCTTCCTTCTCCTCCTCTAGAATTCAACCAAATTGTCCTTTCTGCTCCTCACACACAAACAGTTCATCGTCTCCCGTGGCTGCATCTTTGCACTAGCTGGAATCTGCGCCCGTCTGATCTCCCCAGCTCCTTTAAAATAATGGTCACATTAAAGCTTGGTAGAGAGGCCAAAGCAAGACTGAGAAGGGCTTTAAAGGTCACGGAGTCCTTCCATTTTATCCTAGAGGCACGAGGGAACCTCCAAAATCTCTCGCTCAGAGAAATGACAGGGTCAGACTAATTCCTTAGAAAGGTGAGTTTGGCAACTGTGGAGGAAAGCAGAGAGATCCTGGACACTCAGAGCCCAGGTGGGAACCCATTGTGATGAGGACTTAGATTAAGGTGATGGCCATGTAAGTAGAGAGAAAGGAACAGAAGCAAGAGATCTGGTAGAAATCAGAACTGATGACATGACAATTGATATACATTGAAGACATTGGATGTAAATGCCCAACATTAGTTACAATAATTTTTTTTCACATTGTGAAGGTTATTTAAGTTATTAAGGCAGAGTGTTTTGCTTAGGATATCATGGGAACTAAAAAAAAGTGTGTATATGTACATATGTGTGTGTATATATATATATATGTATATATATATATATATATATATACACACATATATATGTATGTATGTATGTAAAATCATTCTCTACATACTTCATTTTATCAGTTCTTTTTCTGGATGCAGATAGCATCTTCCTTCATATTCCTTCATAGTTAATTTAGATATTTCTCATAGTCAAAATGACAGTCACTCAAAATTGCTCTTAAAACAATATTGCTGTTACTGTATACAATGTTCTCTCTGTTCTTCTCATTTCACTCTACAGTATTTCATGCAAGTATATCCATATTTTTTCTAAGATTATCAAAGAAAAAAATAAATAAAATTTTAAAAAATTAAAAGTTAAAAAATTTTAAATAACTTTTAAAACTCAGAAAAACAACAAACAAAAAAAAAAGCAAAATTTGAAAATATTGGTAAGGAAATCCCTGAAAAGGAGGGGAAGAGGTTATCACAAGGGCTCATCTAGATTTCTAATTCCAGAATAATAAGAAAGGAAGATAACTCATAGTGGTTCCAGAGAATAAGAGAAAAATTGGGAAATACAACAACAATTCCTTATAAGCAAATATGATAACAGCTTGCTCATTAGATTAGTGTGATTACTTCTTTATTAGGCCTTATTTGAGCTGTCATCTGGTATCAATTAGGTCAGTTATACTCTGTCAGGTCTACTGGAGGGAAATGGAGTACAGTCCATCATGGTATATTGGTGAGATAATTGCAGCAAAATTAATCATGGTCAATTTTTATTTACTCCTTCTACAATCACCAAAGCTTATGTTGGCCTTGCCTTGATGATAAGTGCAAAAAAGGATGTGGAAGGTAGGAAAAAGAGTTGTTCAAAATGTTTTCATTTCTATTTTCATTTCTAAGGATCATCATCATTGGAATTAGGGTAGAGGGGAGGATAGAAGCTGTATCAAAAACAAAACACAAATAACGTTCAGGGTAGGGGAAGAGCTTAAAATGGCTAACCTCCATTTCTTCTTAATCACTTAGATCTGCACTATAGGAAAGATAGTGACTTCATGCGTGAATAACTATTTGATGTTTCATTATATACCATAGATGTTTCATTATATACCAAACAAAAGCAAGGAGGGGAGAGAAGAAGCCTCGACAGTAAGAAAGAGAGCGAAGGAAATTATACATATATGGTATAGCAAAGAGATAAAAGAGGGGTTTGGGTAAAAATGTTGCAGGAAAGGTATTAATGTCAGTGTCTTTAGAACACCTTTCTGTCTCCTCTCTGGAGCTTCAAAGCCATACCACAAGGGAGTCCAGTTAAACTATTGAATCTACATCAGTCAGTCTGTCAACAAGCATTTAGTAAGGGTTTACTATATGCCAGGCACCCTTCTAAGCAAATACAATTGAAAAGACAGTCCCTGCCCTCAAAGAGACTATATTCTATATCGAAGACACAACGATAATAACAACCACAAAAGGAAGCTGAAAAGGGATGAGGAGAGAGATCTTATCACTGGAAGATAATGCTAATTAAAGCTCCTTTGATTGGGCTTCAGCCTAGAAAATAAGGCAATAAAGTAAAAAAAAAAAAAAAAGGAAACCCCACAAAGGTCAATTTGGACCTAGCACAAAAATATTAGGGAATGGTCAGGGAAATGAATAGTTAGATATTTTTACTATAAGAGATAATAGTTCAGGAAATAACCATTTACCCAACATGGCTGGGGAATAGGATGTTCACCTTATGAATGTGGGTTCTAGAGTCCAGTGCCTCCCCTAATTGTGTATCCGTAGGTAAGTCACTCACTGGGCCTCATTTTCCTTTTCTGAAAAATCAAGGAAGTGGATTAGTTTCCTCCTTAGGTCATTTTCCCACTTTAAATTGTAGGATTCTATGACCTATACAAGAGACTGCACTGGTAAATATTTAACAACTGGCTCTCTGGAATAACAAATGTAAGCCCAACACAATTTTAAGTTTAATCTGTTTTATTAACATTTTCCCCATTCCTTTTTTTAAGTCTAGACAATCAATAAAACAATAAATCAAGCCCTGATTTGTGGCATTTGCCATTTCCAAGGTATAAATGCTCACACTGAAAATTGAACAATTGGCTGTCCCAAACCAGTTTGAGCAGGCTTACTAAATACCTTGCAAAGCATACACTCACCCTCAATGCAAAGTAACTGACCAGTCTAAAAGAGGTAACACTCTCATTCTTCCTTGAGGATTTGGTATAATTCTTTAATTAAAGGAAGAACCTAAAAGCATGGATAAAATAAAGGTGAACTATAATGATAATGTATACTAAATCTAGCTATTCCCTGAATTTAACAAACCAGCCAAGGCCAGTCTTGAGATCCCAAAGGCCTAGTTCTAAATCCCTTCTCTCTCACTCACCAGCCATGTGACCCTTCGAAGATGAGTCATTTAACCCACCTGAGCTTCCCTCATTAAATAGCAATTACAGATAAATTAGGACCTCCCTCCTGGACTTCTTTTGAGGCTCAAGCGATTTATGAACTATGGAGTGGCATACAGAAGTTAGTTATCATCAATAGGCATAAATCAATGTATAATCAATAGCCTCAGTGATTTGGTACTTTGAACATCATAAGTCCTAATATAGGTTTGCTGAATTTTGAAAGTATATGTAAAGTTAAAGTGTCTCAGACACTTACTAGCTGTGTGACCCTGGGCAAGTCCCTTAACCCTGTTTATATTAATTTCCTCATCTGTAAAATGACCTAGAGAACAAAATAGTGAATCACTCCAGTATTCTTGCCAAGAAAACCCCAAATGGAGTCACAAAGAATCAGATGAGACTGAAATATGACTGAAAAAAGTAAGATTTAGCTGTAGTAAAGATGATTAACAAAAGGCAGCATGGCGCAGTTGGTCCTAGAGTCAAGAATACTTCGGTTCATTTCTTACTCTTCACTCCTATTAGCTGTGGGACCATGGACAAGTCACTTAATCTCTCATTGACCCTCCCCCACCCCAGACAGTTCTTTAAGATGATAAATTATAGACAAGTTGTTGATCTTCATTATTGAAGGGGGTTTCCATACTGAGAAATAATGACAATCTAAGTTCTAATCTTCTCCCCCCAAAAAAGAAAAAACAAACAAGTTGTTTAACATCTTGGTTTACAAGTCTCTTGACCTGTCAAGAGCGGGGTAAAGGAGTGTGGTATAGTGGTGGGGAAAGCATTGGCTTTGAATCAGAGAAGCTGGAATTGAATACAGGCCTTGCCATCTGGTGCCTGTGTGACCCTACAAAAAATCACTTCATTTCTTTGGGCCTCATTTTTCTCATCCAAAAAATGAGGGAATTTGGACTAGGTAAGCTGTAAGTTCACGTACAGCTCTAAATCTATGATTCTCTAACAGAAAATTGACCAGATATTCATACCTTAAGAAGAGATCTGTGTCAGTACATGATTAAATATGTCTAAATATTTATCCTCCATGTTCTGTCCCATCTCTAATTTCTAGTCTATGCATTCCCTCTCAAGCCTTGAATAGCCCTTATTTCTGCCATAGTGATACTATGATTACTACTACCAGCCACCCAAATTTATGAAATCATAAAAAAGAAATGGTCACAAAAATAATGTCAACTCAATTAGTACCATGTAATCACATTGCTATAATAAACACTGGTAGCTTTCTGTCATATCTTCCATCCAGTGGCTAGTGGGCAGTGGATCTACATTACTTTCCAAGTGAGCCTAGGAAGGCTAGTTCACTAGGGCTTCATGCAGCTTTAACAGAATGTGGACAAGTTGATGTGTATCCCAATGCCTGCCATTGTCGCTCTATGAAAATGCAGACTGGCTAATAGGAGCACAATATGCAAGATGCCAGTGAATCTCTATGATTTACAATATGTCTAATGAGCAAGCTCGATGAAGAGGTTTGTTGTCTACCATAAAACCAGATGGATGTAAGCAGTGATTAGAAGCAATTAACTCCATGCAGCACTAAATAACTTTCCATCATTAACGTACATTTTTTCCACCTCATTAGAGGTACCAGAAGAGAGCATGAGGTAAGAAGCACTCAATTTGAATTTCAGATATGCATATGTTTTGGGGGGAAAACCCTTTTGCAAGGAAAACAAAATATAAGTTGACATAAATCCTATTCTGAAGTCATCTATGGACCAACCAAATTGGTCCTGGCTAATTCTGCCTGATAATTGACCATTTGCTAACCTTGGGTATCGTGTTACTTAAACTATAGTCTTCTGATGGGAAACCTATCAGATTATCAACAAAACAGGTGCTGGAGAAAAATAGGTTATAAAGAGAGGGGTTAGTAAGCCTATAGTGATTGCTAAATTCATTTAAGAAAATATGTCTTTAAAATAATTTTTAAAAATTCTGAAAAAGGCTTAATGTAAGATATAAGATATACTTAGGGGGATTTCAATTTTAGACACTCAAAATGAATGACTGCATGATAATTCCCAGTCACTAAGATGTTCAGCAGTAACATCTCTGCAGATTGGCAGTCCTCTAAATAAGAAAATGTGCTAATTCATGGATATAATTCAAAATAGCAAATACATACACTAAGTGTACAAGCAACTCATATCCTATTACAGCTTCATAACAAATAGTGAAATATACAAATGTATCTAGTACTTGGAAGAGAGAAATACTGGATTCTACTAGATTCTGGTATGTTGGGATAAGTATAAAAGGATATGTCATAAAAAAAAAAACACAGAATCACACAATTGTCAACTTGAGAGTTAGAAAGAACTTCATACACCACCTAGGCCAAGCTATATACAAAATGAATACCAATATTGCATTCCCAACAAGAAGTTATCCAGCCTCTGCTTGAAGACCTTCAAAGAGGTCCCCTCAGAAGGCAGTCCATTCCACCTTCAAATAACAATATTTGTTGGGAAGTGCTAGACTGTCAAGACGTTGTTGATTCCTTATTCTACCTCGATGTACTAGATATCCTTCCAGCTTTGTGTAATCCTAATATTGGATGTAATACCATTTATTATGCATTTACAATGTTCTAGTCACTGCTGAGTACTTTAAAAAATATCATCTTCTTTGATCTTCACAACGAAGAGATTATGGTTATTATTACCCTCATTTTATAGCTGAGGAAACTGAGGCAAACAAAGGCTCAGCAACTTGTCCAGTGTTACTAGTGAGTGTCTGAGGATAGATTTGAACTCAGGTCTTCCTGATTCTAGGCCCAGTTCTCTATCCACTATACTATCTATCCCTTTATCTAAGTCATTTATAAAAATGGCAGGTAGGTGGGGAGTGAACAGAGTACCAGACCTAAAGTCAGGAAGATCTGAGTTCAAAATCAGCCTCACGCATTTAATAGCTGTGAGACATTAAGCAAGTCACTTAAAGTCTCTCTCTGCCTCAGTCAGTCAGTTAACTGGTATTTATTAAGCATCTACTAGGTGCCAGGACACCCCAAGACTGATCTGAGTACTGGGGATATAAAAAGGCCAAAGACAAACACACAAACTACCCAATCCCTGCTTCCAAGGAGCTTACAATGATATGGAATTATGCTTCAGTTTTCTCATTTGTAAGTGAGGATAATATTAGCATCTACCCTGTATTGTGAGGAGAGGATGAGATATATGTACAATGTTTTAAAAGCCTTAAAGCATTATCAACATCCTTACCACCACCATCATTATCATTATCAGCATTAGCATCACCATTATCACCATAACTATCACTATTATTATCATCCATCATTATCACCACCACCATTATCATCATCATCATCACTACCATCATCATCATTAAGTAGAACAGGGTCAATCCCAGATCCCAGGGGTACTCCCCTAGGGGCCACTTGCTATATTGACATTAACAACTACCATTAGCAGCTACTCTTTCAGTCAAACCACATGAGTAGTCTGACTCTATCTTCTCAATCATCTCAACAAGAATAGAATGGTATACTTTATCAAAAACTTTGTTAGCCCTTCTAGCCAAGATGGCTGCCTGCATGGAGGCAGGCTACCTTGCACCTGACCACCTATTCCATCAAGAACCTAAAAATACACTAGACTTAATAAAGATCAAGAAATCAAATGAGGAACCAGATAAATGGCTTCTTTCATCCCTAGAATTACATAAAAAGTCAGCCTGGTAACCATAAGCAACAAAAAACAAGTCACCAGAAAAGCCAGCATCAGCACAGAGACCAGTTAGAGACATTTATAGCCTGTAAGACTCACTATCCAGAAACAGGGAGAGTAGAGGGCTGCCCTGATGAAGGCCCAAGATAGTTGGAAAGCCACGATAGGGATATTGGAAGGGACCAGGAGTGGCAGTGACCAGTCTGGATGCATTAGAACTCAGAGACATCTCAGCACCAGGAACTCTAAGGTCCTTAGCACTCTGTCCTAACATATTGTGCTCTAAAGATCCAGTCAGTCAATAAACATTCATTAAGGACCTGCTGTGAGCCAAACACTGTAAGAAGCACTAAGGATACACAGAAAGGTAAAAGACACTCTCTAGTCTTAGGGAGCTCGCAATCTAAAGCGAGAGGCAACATGCAAGCAACTATGTACAAACAGGATAGAGATGGGATAAAATGGAAATAATCAATAGAGGGATGGCTCTAAAATTAAGAGGGATTGGGAGAAATAATATGAAGGTTAAAATGATAATGCTTGTCAACAGATTGGATAAGGTTGCATGACTGAGTAGACAGTGCTTCCCTCCATAGCTATACGAAAGTTGGGAAGAGCAGAGAGTTTGGAAAGAAAGGCAATGAGTTCAAGATTTGTATAAGTCTTAATGAGTTTAAGTTG